TCCTTGACGACAATAGCGCAGCTGGCGTCGGCGCAGAGAGGCCTGCGGCGCTGGACGGGCAGCTTGGGAGCGAACTCGAGGCCGGTGGCGCGCTCGACGGCCTCGAGGGGCATCTCAAAGTCGGCGAGGGGCTTGTCGTTGGGGATGGGGGCGTTGGGCAGGACAAAGGCGCCGACGGCGACGTTGCCGCCGGGCCTGCCGTCCTCGGCGAGGATGACCTTGTAAAAGTGGGTGGGGACGGCGACGCTCGGGGGGCTGCCGATGACCTCGTAGCGCGTGTACCACTTGCCGTCGACGGGGTCGCGCTTGGGCAGGTAGAGGGGCCCCGTGGCGACGCGGACGCTGGGGTAGCGCTGGGTGAGGCGGCGGCAGAAGTCCTCAAAGTGGGCCCAGTAGTCGCGGTTGAAGCCGTCGCCGACCTGGGGGCACATGTTGGTGAGGTAGAACGTGTCGTCCATGGCCGTCTGGGACCACTTTGCGTCGGCGGCGGGGACCTGGTGGCCGCGGTCGTAGCCCGAGCGGAAGTAGTCCTTGAGCTTGGCCTGGAACTTGCCGGGCACCTGGGGGTCCTCGAGGAAGACCGAGTGCTTGCGGTCGGCGTCGCGGGCGGCGAGCGAGGCCGGCGTGATGTGCTCGACGACCCAGTGGGGGTTGCGGGTGCGGCGGTCGTAGGCGCTCACGAGGGAGGCGCGCGAGGATATGTCGGCGTGGGGGCCGGGGAAGCCATACTCGAACCAGCCGGCGGGGTCGACAGGCTTGAGGACGGGGAGGTTCGCATGTGGCCCCGCGGCGGCGGCGGGTGGTGGTGGTGGTGGTGGTGGTGGTGGGTTGGTGAAGATTTGCGAGGCGGGCACAGGCACAGTCGGCGCGGCGGCCAGGTGTGTCGGGACATGGAGGGTGGCCTCGGGCTGCTTGGACGAGCGGAGAGAGTACATGGTTGCGGTGAGAGCGGCGCCACTTCCAGCGCCGAGGGCAGCGACGAGGGCAATGGAGGCGGTTTTCGACATGGTGAAGACGGGGCTGGCGGCGCTGCGTGGGACCAAGGGGAAAATATAGTAAGTAGGCGAGTGGGAAAAAAGGGGAAGAAGTGAGGTGAGGGAAGAAGAGAAAGAGCGGCAACGTCAGGAGCGATGCTCTGATGACTTGGAGGCGGCCACGCGGGGGGAGGTGGGCATGTGGTGAAGGAGGTGGGTGTGCGAGGTTGTCTCTGATCGAGCAGATGGCTGAAGCAGATGACAAGATCGCAGATGGGACCCCCTTCGAAGGGCCGGACCAAAGTTGGGGTTCTGGCAAATTTTAGGCCGTGTTCCGCCAGGGGATCTTCAGGGACCGTTACAGGGGAGGTTGAGCCTAGGCCAGCCCGACATTTTGCCGGTCGAGTGTCCGCTACCTTCAGGGCACTTTGCTTTAGTACATAGGTACCTACCTGGCTTAAGGTACTGCGAGGTAGGCGCCTGAGGTACCTAGGTACATGTAGGCCTAGGTCAGTCGGCTGCTACGCGCACGAGAGGCTCCACTTGTCCTGCCCGTCATCCTCTGTGGCCCCGCGACTGGGACACCTGCCTGCCTGTCTGTTTGTCTGCCTGCCGGGCGTTGCCCATGCTTGACGCGCTGTGGTGCCTGCTACTGTCCCTCAAGGTGCCGTCGAAGACTCGTGGCTAGGTACCTCATCTCCTGTTGGGTACCCCCACGACATGGGAATACGAAGCTGCCACTACACGTCAATGCGGACTGAAAATCAAGCAAACTGAGCGCCGTGATTCTGTGGATTCGCGTCATTCAAACTCACTGTGGTTTTCTTACTTTTACTTTGTTTCGCAAGCCTCAGCACGCGTCCAACATCACAGCAACAAATCAGCTGCTCATACTCGTGACGAGGTCCCTGAAAGTTTGGCCTACGATCGACGCTACCATCACAAGCAATCAGCGGTCTGCAGGGACGGGCCGTGTCGATGAGCAGGCCTGTCCATGCGCGTTTGGGGCATCGTTGGGGCGTTTTTTAAACAGTCTGCCTCTCGGCCTCTGCCTTGACCTCTCTCTGCCTCTGTCAAGCCAAGACAGCCTCACTGTTTTGATGAGGCGAAAGAGCACAACTGACTAAAGGACCTAGGGTGAACTGGCATGCTGACTCGACAGGCAGGCATGGCATTCTGAAGCAAGATCACGCCCCTCTTTCAGAAGTCGGCAGGTAAGGTAGTCAGAGGCAGCCAAGAAAGCCTCAGGCAGTGGAAGCTTGCGGGGATGGGGACCTTGATGGCCGGGCATGCATGTACGCATATGTCGCTGGTGATGGCCCAAAGGCGGTCTGGGTCTGGAGACCGACAGGGTACGTACCACGGCAGCTGGGTACGCTCTTGTCTGACCCCTGCTCCCAAGATGCGAAGCTTAAGTGTCCCGGTTGCCCCCACCTTTCCCCAATTGCGAATGGTCTGCGTCTGCGTCTGTGTCTGCGACTCCTGCTACCAGTGAGTGACGACTGCTTGCTTTCTTCCTCGATCGCCATCCTACCACTGCATTCGGCTCGCTCGACTTGCCTCCCTGGCTGCTCTTTGCAACTCGCTCTTTGCAACTCGCCATCCTACGGTATCCCTATTCATCACCCCGAGCCCTGTCCTGCAGTACCAGCACCGCGCGGCACCACAGTCTGCCCCTCTTCCTCCTCTGGAACTCGAAATCCTCGCCCACCTAACTCCGCATCGCCTCCCCCCGACCACCAGAGAGCACCAAGTCCCAGGTCAGCAAACTCGCTCCAACTGATTCGTCAGAGTCGACCACCCAGACGTCCAACAGCGCTGCCACAACCGCCACCACCACGAAAAAAAAATAAAGCCTTTTCGACCGATCCCGCGACCATCTTTCGCTGCTTCCTCTCCGATCATCCTCAACGTGCCATGCGCTCGGGTCAGCCTCTTTTCAGGAACAGATCGTAAAGAGGCGGGTGGTTGCCCTTGATGTCCGACGCCATGGAGCCTGCGTCTCTGGACAATGACACGCGTGGATGGATCATGTGCCTGGTCAGCGGCATTGGTGGGTGACCCTGTCATAGGCAACGAGCCTCTTGTCTCTTGTCATGCTTCTGTCGTCCTCTGCGCTCTGCTCACAGTCTGACAGCTTGTGTCGTCGGTGCGAGTATCATCTACGTTGACCTGCTCATTTGTCGACTCCCCGGCAAGCGAGATTTTCGCATCCAGGACAGCAATGTCTTCCTCGCGTGCGCTCTCAGCTTGAGCTTCGGTGTCATGGTGCGTCCCTTTGCGTTTTGCGTGCATCCAGCCCCTCCAGCCCCTCCAACCTCCGACACGCCCGCCAAGCATCATGGGGAACCACAAGCTGACTGATCGTCTTCTTCCACAGCAATTCTCCGCGCTCTACAGCATGCTCCCCGAAGCCAAGTCCTATCTCAAAGAAGGCGGTTACTCCGATCAGATTGCCGGCGCCATTCTCATGGGCTGCTTCATCGGCGGCTTTGTCGGCATTCAGGCCGTCTCGCGAGTATTGCACCAATTCATGCCGTCCCACGTTGTCGACTTGCGATCACACCCACGACGAGAACGGAACACCGCTCCCGAAAGCCTCAGTCGCAAAACGTCCTTCGCGCGTCAGCGACCGCCCTTACGCATCCACAAGCATGATGCCGACGAACGCCGATGGCCATGGACAATGGCCATGACCATGGACACCCTCACGGACATGCCACCCTCACGCCAACGGAGCCGCCCACGAGTCGACCCCGCTGCTCAACACGCTGTCCGAGGAAGGCAGTGCCAGGCCTGCATCGGGGAGACGACTGACCACGAGACAGACCATGCCGGCCAGGACGGTGGTGAGAAGCCGCACCCTCACCGTTGATCGTCGACCGTCCATGGCACAGGTCCAGAAACGCGTCATGTCCTTTGTCAAGGACACCAAAAGCAACTGTGACGAAGGAGGGCCCTGCTTCGGCTACACGGATCCCTGCGGACAAGAGTGCTTCAAGCATCTGGGCAGCCGCTCCGCGGCCTCGTCGCGGCATTCCACCGTGGTCCGCCCCTCGACCGGCCACTTTCCTCCAACCTCGAGCGGACCGCACAGTCGCGAACGGGAAGAAGACATGGAATCGATAGGGTCTCCTGCCAGCCCGCGACACCCCAGGAGCCGCACGGCGTCTCGCGAACCCTTGAACGGGAACCTCGAGGAGGCTGACACCGAGGTGCAGAGTGAGGACTGCTCCTCTATGGAGGAAGACGTCGAGGCGCAGCACCATCACCACGTCCCTACCAATGCGTTTCTCTCGCTCGGCCTGCAGACCTCTATTGCCATCGCCCTGCACAAGTTTCCCGAGGGTTTCATCACCTACGCCACCAACCACGCGAACCCGAGCCTGGGCTTTAGCGTCTTCATGGCTCTTTTCGTTCACAACATCAGTGAGGGTTTCGCCATGGCCCTCCCGCTCTACATGGCTCTTGGGTCCCGTCTTCGGGCTCTGCTATGGTCCTCCCTCCTAGGCGGTCTCTCGCAGCCCCTAGGCGCTGCCATTGCCGTGCTCTGGTTTCGCATTGCCAACCACACCCACATGGCTCCCAGCGCTGTCGCCTACGCATGCATGTTCGCCGTCACCGCGGGCATCATGGTCAGCGTGGCGCTGCAGCTTTTCGTCGAGGCGCTCTGCCTCGACCACAACCGCAACCTCTGCATCTTCTTCGGCTTTCTGGGCATGGCGCTGCTCGGCGTCAGCAGCGCGATTGCATCGGCGCATTGAGAGGCGATACACGAGCCTCGGCGGGTCACTGCATCTCACAACTTGCGTTTAGGTATAAGGCGTTACTAGGCTGTCCTCATTGGTGTTGGCTGTTTGAGTATGGATTGCTGGAGGGGGGCGGGGGCGGCGTGCTTGCTGTTTGGGCGCACTGGGAATGAGTCTTTCCGGCATATATACATATAGAGTCATGTTGAGCCCGCAGCTCAGCTGGGCATACCACTCTCGTGTTCTTCCGTGACTGGTTCGATGAGGTTTGATGTACTTGCTGGTTAGGCTCTTCATTTCATGCAGGCAGTGAGGGGCGACTTGAAGAAGGTCGTTCCCTTCGCAAGCCGAGTTCGATTTGTGTACACGGAGACTGGAGAGAAATGTCCCGTGTCAATTGGTTGGTTGTCTTGACATGCACTCTAATGTTGTGGCTCATGGCCGGGTATCCCTACAGCTCATCACGTCATGCCCCTTTAATTTTGGTCCAGCCTCTTCGTCGTAATTCCGTCATGCCCACGGAGCTCCACAAGGTACAAACACACGCGCGCACACCTCACTCCATGGCGAACATGCCCTCCCCGAGCGCCGGGTCAATGAAGCGGCTGAAGTCCTCGTCAATCAGCGCCCGCATCGCCGCCTCGTCATGCTGCCACGTCACGTCCTGCTGGCCGGCGGTCTCCGGCACGGCCGCCGCGTCCAGCCCAAACGCGTCGCCGGCGCCGATCCAAAAGTCGTCGTCCTGCGGCACGCGGATGACGGGGTCCGCCTCGTCGCGGTAGACGATCTCCTGGCTGACGCCGAGGAAGGGCAGCTCCGGCATGGGGCGGTCGGCGACATTGTCCTGCTGCTGCGGCTGGGCCGTCGCGGACGTGTCATCGGCCGAGGCCTCGGTGCCGAGGCGGAGGACTTCGGCCTCGATCGGCGAGGGCGGGTGGTGTGCGAGGTGGAGGTCGAGGTCGTGGGCGCGGAAGAAGCGCTCGGTGCAGTGGGGCATGGTGCAGGCGATGGAGCGGTCGGTGCCGGCGACCTGGTCCATGACGGTCGTGGTCGTGCGCCTGCGCTTCTGGTGCGCGGCGGCGGTGCCGACGTCGTCGTCGTCGCGGTCGGCGAGGGGCGCGGGGACGGGCCGCTCGATGCCGAGGTGGACGTGGCGGATGTGGGCCTCGAGGTTGCCCTTGGTCACAAAGGCCGTGCCGCACCCCTGCTCGCGCGGCCAGGCGGCGAGGTCGGCGGTCGTGGCGTGCTCGGCCTGGCCGCAGACGAAGCGGAGGCCCTCGTGGGCGGAGCGGACGTGGGCGTTAAGGTTGCTCTTCTTGGTGAACTTTTTGTCGCAGCCGGGCCAGGCGCAGGGGATCGTCTTGCGGGCCTCGAGCGGGATGCCCGAGTGGTAGAGCTCGACGTGGCGCTCGAGCTCGGCCTGCCCCTTGCACTTTTGGCCACAGAAGATGCAGTTGAGGTGCTCCTTGCGGGATGTGCGTTTGGAGGAGCAGCAGGCTCGTGAAGCCCACGCGCCGCGGGGGCCGGTCGCCGCTGGGGTCGGCCTCGAGCTCGCACTCGTCGCACCAGAAGCTCGGCTCGCTGTGGTCGCGCTTGGTGTGGTTGCGCAGGGCGCCCTGCGAGTCGAAGCCGGCGTGGCACCCCTGCTCGGGGCAAAGGTAGGCGGGGCCGCCCTGATGCTCGGCGCGAATGTGACGCTGCAGTGTGTTGTGCTTGCGGAAGCTCTGGTCGCATGGTGGGTAGTCGCGGCAGCGGAAGCGGTTCTGGCCGGCGTGGACTTCCTGATGACGGCGCAGGCGGGTGGCGGTCAGGAAGGACTTGCCGCAATCCTCGGTGGTGCACACGTAGGGAACGCTCCTGGCTGTGGGAGCCCTTGACGTGCTGTCGGAAATGCTTTTCCTCCGCGATACGTCTTGTCACACCCATCGTGGGTACACTTGTAAGGGCGGTCGTCGGTATGCGAGCGCAGGTGAGCGGCGAGGCGGGCAGGCCGGTTAAAGGTCTTTTCGCAGTCGGGATATGTGCACTTGATCGTCTTAAAGTCGGAGGGAAATTTGCGAGAGCGATTGGACAATGCAGTTGTGGCCGTGCAGACCGTCTCTGGCTTGGCCGTATCGGCCGAGTAGCTCGTGGTATCGTCATAATCTTCATCGTCTAACTGGGCTGAAAGGTTGGTCAGTGGGTGGGAAGCCGGTATGGAGGGGTACAATAGAGCTGAACAAACCCATGGGGTCGAGGGGCTCAACGACCAGTTTCTTGGCTATCACAGCCTCAGCTTCTTCAGCTGCCTTGCGCTTCGACATCTTGTCCTTTGCCTACAATCGGCGCTGCTTCATGGACAAAATGTCAGAGACTGGACAATGGAAGCTCTAAGTGCAAGCAGCGGCAGGAACACTGGCCTGGGCATGGGAGAAAATTCGCGGCAGAAACAGGCGGTGACGGTCACTTTTTGCGCGTTGTGGGGCTGGGAAAGGGTTCAGCGGGGGCTTGTGGGACCTCGCCAGAAGATCAAAAGCTTTAGTCCTGTTTGGGTTGGTCGTGCCGTCCAGTCAGGTGACATGGCTCTCGACCGTTGACTGCATGTCAATTCACACGGTGTGTTGGTGCAAGGCTGCAACACCCTCGACTGACACCATCCTGATGAGGAACCCTGGCCCTTTGCGGGACAAGCGAGAGAGCGCCTGTGGCTCTTCACCAGACTCGCGGTTTGAGAAGAAAGACCAAATCGTCAGGACGCTTTCAAGAATTGACGGGCAGCCAGAGGAAGTCAACCGTCCCGCGTGGAATTCGACACCCATCTTCGTCATGAGCGTGGGCAGGAAACTCGCGATGGAGCAGTCTCGAGCCTCTGGGGCCCCCAACTCGTCCGGCCTCACCTGTAGGGGCCCAGGGGCTCACAATCTGCAGTCCGGATTGGACTAGGTTACCCAGCCTTCTCAAATCGTTTGCACCCGAAGGCCTCCAGCTGCCAAGTTGGCCGTAAGGCGTATTCCCACACACCCCCCGGTTCCCATACGCCTTGACTCGGCGCCTACACTGAGCTCATAAGGAGCGTCTCTGTCCCCTCACTCTATTTTCGCAACGTGTGCCCTGTATACTAACCTAGCTTCCTCATACGGCTCGTCGATTTGCCTACCTGCCCAATCCACCATGTCATCTGTGGCAGGAACACCACCCCCGCAGGCTAGAAAGACCCCTACAAGAGGGAAGAAGAACTCGGATCCTTTACACGCGATGAAAGAACAGACAACCATGACCGGACATATCCCAATGGGCAACGAGACAGCACCTTACGGTACCCCAACACCGCCAGCTACGCCGCCGCAATCAGCCAAATCGACATCGATAAAAAGAAGAGTTGAAGCCGCTGGCTCCCAAGCGTCACTTACTCCTGCCATTTTGCATGCCTCGAGCGAGACTCTGCAGCATTCAAGGCCCCCTTTACCCCAGGAAACACAGTCAGCACCAATCGTCTTACAGCACAACACGAACAAAAGCTCTGATGGAAAGGCTCCTGGAAATTCATCGCCGTACCAAATTGACGCCAGTATAGGAGATCTTCTCAAGTCTCCCACTACAGGCAGAGGATCATCAGATGCCGGGAAAGTGGGACACATTTATGTATGTCCTGTCGTCAATTGCGGCCACCACAAGCTTCTGTTCAAGATCGGGATAGCTAGCAACTCTGTTCAAGCGCGTTTGAACGATATCAGCAAACTGTGCGAAAGAGGAAAGCTGGAGCCTCTCAACGCCCACCAACGACCTATCCGGCAATACAAGCGGGCAGAGAGGCTGATCCATGCCGAGCTTCGAAACTTCAGGGCCGAATTTGAGTGCAACTGCGGTTCCGACCACAGGGAATACTTCGATATCGACAAGCACGTCGCACTCGAGGTGACTCATCGCTGGGCTGTTCTTTGCGAAGCAAACCCGTGGGACCGGAACCACAAGTTACAAAGCTACTGGGAGCACCGCTTGAACAGGCGGTCACAGTGCGACGAGACCGAAACCGTGCATGATCACGAGCAGCGGGCGAAACGCTGGAGAGAATTCATCAATCCAAAGCCCTGGGATATAGCTGTCTACAATGTCGTTTCGGCAGCGACGTCATTCATGCCATGGAGGTGGCATTGGGTGGCCCTGCTGCAGGGCCTTTATCTGTCCTATGTAACGTTCCCGGACCCCGTCTCCGTCCTGTCCTTAGTTGCCTTGGTCGTGTGGATGACCATGGAGAGGGATCTCAAGGGAACACCTTTTTTCTGGGAAACTACCAGGACCATTGACGAAAACTTGTTTCCAACTCCCAAAGCCAAACGCACGTCAGCTGATGCTACAAGCAACGACAAGGTAAGTGCGAATCCATCACCTCTGGGGGCGAAGATGCGTTGGCGACGCTGGCAGCTGACTGATGGTTGGCTAGGAGGAGGAGGAACTCCAGCGTGATCCGGTCGAAGAGACTCGAGATCACGATGCTGAGATGCGAGATCACGATACTGAGATGCGAGATGCAGAATCATCAGACACATCAGAGATTCAGGTGACCACGCCGAGTCGCAAACGCTCTCAGCAACCTTCTTGAAAAAGCGTGGCAATGACACTGTTGTCGTAGTGGCAGCAGCAAGTCAGTCATGGCTTGAGCTAGTTCGAAGCTTTTGTTGGCATCTTCATTCCCTACAGTCTGGTGTTGTGGCGCTGTTTTCATTTCGACGTTCGATGAAGAGGATTGTATATATGGAATTATGATTTTTGTGACAACTTTCTCTTTGACGACATTTTGAAATCTACAACTCAGCTTCCTGTTCATTGGTCTGTCTGTTTTAACCCGGCCATCACACGGAATTACTTGGATGTGGAGGCAACTGTTGTTCGGCGTGAGCGTTACCCGTGTATAAAATCAATCGAAATTGAGCCTCGCAAAGTGCGTAAACCAGCCTAGCCTGGACAGGTAGGAGCGCAGGTTTAAGTCTCCGGAGTGTTCAGGTACCAGATTCTATTATTCTGAGTCGACTTAATCTTCGTGGTCGCCCTGTACACACACTCGATATGTGTGAGCGAATGGTAAAACGCCCTGCGTCGCTGTGGAGGCATTGGTCGCTTCGAGACGTCGAGGGAAACGCCCAAGTCGTGATGGCAGAAAGTGGCTTTTCGGGGCCATGAGGGATGCACCCAGCCATGGTCCTCAGCTGCAGGCGGCCATTCGTTTCCTGACTGGTCATCCAGCAGGAGGCTGTTGCCAGGGTACCTAACCCCGCCTCTTGGCGATTTGGTCAGGCAGACTGCGTAGTATGTGTAGAACCCTGAACAGAGCAGCTTCTTCATATTTGTCTAACAATCATGGTCCTACCTCTTATTGGAGGTGCCTTATTATTCGTTGGCTCTATCTGCTCGTGGGTGGTAGACAGGGTCACTCGCCTGTATAGAGTGTACCGCAGAAATGGCGTGATCACAACACTTTTATTCACCGTACTCCCAGACACGTCGTCGACTCTGGACCGCATCAAGACGATTCTGTCGGGGACAGACTCAGAAATATCGGAGTATCGGCAGTCGCTGAGTTCCAATATGAACATGGCTGCTGTGGCTGTGAGTTCCCCTGCCAACTCATGCTTGAATGACGCAAGCTAATTCCAACCACTGAATTCCAGGGCGCCATCATTGCGCAGGTAGCCATCACGGGGTTGTCCTTGGAGGCCAGAAGCCAAGCGCACTGGACTGCCTCAGCCTTCCTTACTGCAAGCATCGCTTTCGGCGTCATATCTGTCTACGTCAGTTTCATAGTCCAGCAGGAGCTCAACGGGCCTCCTGGGACCGACCGGTGTCGCGGATTGGCTCTCCAAACCACTCACTCAAGCCGAGCTACAAGAGAAAGCCAACCAGCTATATCGAGACCCAGTATTGAACGACACGGAGTTGTCTAGGCCGCTTGAGCGAGAGGTCCAACCCGAGAACGGCGCAGCCAGGCCGGGTCTGACCCGGGAGGCCTCAGCACTGGCTGCCATCTTACTCTCGGCTCCATCGGGCCTCCTCGTACTATCCTTGAACGCGTTTGTCATTGGCTTGGGTATCTATCTGGGCTGCACATATACCGACAACCTGATATCCGACCTTGGAAGAGGCGGTTCGCTGGGAGTACTTGTGTTTTACATTGTTGCGTCCGCGACGGCCACCTTTCTTTACACGTTTCCTCAGATTGTAAAGTCGTCCGAAAAGTACGACGATCAAATGGTCACAAGCTTGAGGAGGCAGATTGAGCTTTTGGACAGCATCTTGAGAGATCGGCAATCGAGCGACCATCAACGTAGGCAGGGCGTTTAGGGGGTGTTGAGATTCTGTGCTGTGGATCTCCACATGCCCCATGCCCTCATGCTTTGCCTTGTGCTAGTTTGCGAGGTCAAGTTTTCAGGTACAGACTCGAGTCACTGTAAGTGAGCAGATGTGGTTAAGAATAGGTGTCGTGGATTGCGTCGCGGGGCATCCTTTTGCCAGGTTATAACACTCTCTAGTGAGCAGACGAGGGTGGTAGTTCAATGATAGTAGGGACCATGGCAGTAGCTTTCTTAACGAAGTACGCTTCTGATCGCGTCAACCAGCCTTATCGTTCAGCAGCTGTGACACCGGCAAAACCCCGGCCCAGATGGGTCCCACGCTAAGGTAGGTCCTTCGGAAAACAAAGGCAACTGCGGGAACCCCTGCAGCGCAGCCTCGCATTCAATATTTTTTCACGACTCCATTGATCAAGCCTTCCCTATCGCGACCGATTTACGACAAAGCACGTCCAACTCACCCACGCGCGCCAAACACCCCCACCAACTCACCTCCAAAATGTCTGACATGGGCGATGACCACGATATGGGGGCGCAGTACGTCTAGCCCCTCTAAGCCATCGCGTCTCTCACGACAGGGCGACATCAAACTAACCCAACGTGTAGCGAGGACGCCTTCGATGACGACGAGGCATTCGACTACGATGAGTTCCCCGAAGAAGACGAGAAGAAGGATGACGAAGAGGATGGCGAGGACAACGTCATTAACGCCGGCGACCCGTCAGCGGCCGCCGCTGCCACCAAGAACAGCACCCTCTCGCACAAGGACATGAAGATCCCCGACGACCAGCGGACCACGACGCCCTACATGACAAAGTACGAGAAGGCCCGTATTCTCGGCACGCGGGCGCTGCAGATCAGGTAGGCCACGAACCTCCAGGACCTATGCACAACGGGAGCGCCTCGGACTGACCGCAGGCCTTGACAGCATGAACGCGCCGGTGCTGGTTGATCTCGAGGGTGAGACGGATCCTCTGCAGATTGCGATCAAGGAGCTCCGCGAGAAGAAGATCCCTCTGATCGTGCGCCGGTACATGCCGGACGGATAGTGAGCCTTCCCTCTGGTGTTTGCCAGACGCTAGTTTTGCTGACTACTTTTCCCCAGCTACGAGGATTGGACTTGCGAAGAGCTGCTTCAGTGAGCAACAGGCTCGATACATGCATGTGGGATGGCAGGCAGGGGACCAGCTCCGGGAGGGTTAGCATGCGCCCAGTCTCCTACCGTAGGTGCATCAGACGCAGGTGGCTCGAGCTACGTTGCCGTCTGCTGAGGCGACTTCCCAGGGACGATGGTGCCGTCATGTGAATTTAGCGCGGCGTTTCAGGATAAAAAGACTCGATTTCCAACAGCCGGTAGTGCCTGGTGCGTCGCTCGAGCGGTCAGCTTCCTGGCTGTGGACCTTCAGGTCTGTCCAGGTTACATCTTTGCGGGTGCAGAGCCCAGGCAAACACATACGGCGCGAACGGTCAGAGTCAAGGGTCAAGTATGAATATGGTCAGCATTTCATCAGCGCCATCATACGTCCTAGGGCGCTTAGTGACAACCAGGACTCAAGCTTGTGCAGACTAGAGGACAGGCAAGCATGCGTCGCTTGTCACAGCGGAGCTCTCACACCCAATGCCGTGTTTGACCATCAACAGTAGCCGACTGCAACTACCCAAAACCATGGCACGCACTCAATCATCATGAACAAACCTGTGAGAGAGTTCGATCAAAGTTGACTGGCTTGGTCGCGGATGGCATGCTATTTGGTTTTTGTCACCTCAAACACTACGCAGTCTGGATCCAAGAGACGCAGACTGGCGGTGCCCGGAACGATACCTGTTTAGAAATAGCCCAAATAGCAGATCCTGGGTTTCGGCGTTGATAGCAATCAAACTTACCACATGTCGTCCGAGGCAGCGGCACCGCGAGAACGCCCCTGCAGTCACAAAGTCTTTTCGCATGGAACAGCATTGCGACATTCATTTCGGTAGTTGCGTTACTACACGCACACGACGTCCTGGGCTGGTTCGGGATGGGACAGTCGATCCTTGGGCTGCGCTCACCTGCTCCCCTCCTCCAAAACAGACCTTGTGTGTGATTCCCAGTGCTCACGCCTTGGTTGGACTAGTAGTCGTAAAAGGCTATGAACTGATTCTGATCAAAAGAACACTGTCGTCGTTTCGTGCCCTCAGAACCGGGTTGTGACGGAACAAATACCAATTGCCGGCCTGGCCCGTCACAATGACGCTTCGGGCTTGCGAGTGCGGGGTGTTGGAGCTCCATGGTGGGGTTGATTGAGCTCCCCCGATGATGCGCCCAACAAACAGCCCTGGAGATATCTCGGTCTTGCTCCGGAGTCTACAGCCTCTCTCCTCCTACATCTCCCCTCCCACGACCATTCGAGTTGGTTCTTCAGTTCTTGATTCTGTTCCAGAGCTCCTCTCGAGCAACCGAAGCGCAAAGTACTGCCATCTTCACACGTCTCCTCTTAGCAACCGCAATCATGGCATTCACCACCAAGGCGACCATCGCCTCCTTTGGCGGCCAGCTCCTCAAGCTCTCCCACGCCTCGAGCACCACGAAGACCGACATGGCCTTGAACCTCTACCTGCCGCCCTCGTCCTCCAAGTCGCCCGTGCCCCTGCTCATCTACCTCTCCGGCCTGACCTGCACGCCCGACAACGCCACCGAGAAGTCCTTCATCCAGTCCACCGCCGCGGCGCGGGGCATCGCCGTCCTCCTGCCCGACACGTCGCCCCGCGGCCTCGACATTGCCGGCGCCAACGACGCCTACGACTTTGGCGAGGCGGCCTCCTTCTACATCGACGCTCAGAAGGCGCCCTACGCCGACAACTACAAGATGGAGACGTACCTCGTCCGCGAGCTGCCGGGCCTCCTCGAGAGGGACTTTGCCGACAGGATCGACTTCAAGCGGGTCTCCATCACGGGCCACTCCATGGGCGGGCCACGGCGCCCTGACCCTGTACCTCAAGCACCCGGGCCTGTACAAGAGCGTCAGCGCCTTTGCGCCCATTGCCAACCCGACCAAGTGCCCCTGGGGCGAGAAGGCGTTCAAGGGCTACCTCGGCGACGACGTCGAGGAGTGGAAGAAGCACGATGCCACCGAGCTCGTCAAGGGCTGGAAGGGCCCACTGAATGCCCTCATTGATGTTGTCAGTAGCCCCTGCTCGCCCCGTCTGGCATTTGTTTCTTCCCTCGAGAGTCAAGACGACAGTACGCTGACCTTGCGCAGGGCACGGGCGACAACTTTTACAAGCAGGGCCAGCTCCTCCCGGAGAACTTTGAGGCCGCCGTCAAGGAGGCGGGTCTGTCCGGTCTGGAGCTGCGCTACCAGAAGGTGAGCGCCGCGCGTCAAATGTCCCCTCATGCGAATCTGCAGCTGACGGTCCCAGGACTACGACCACTCATACTTCTTCATGGCCTCTTTCCAGCACGACCACGTTAACCACGCCGCCAAGTTCCTCGGCGTGTAGCCGTCAACGAGGGAGGAGTGAGTAGTCAGACAAGCAGAGCAGCCCAAAAATAAGGATAAATTCTAGCGACACGCCAGGGAAGCCAACGCAGTGTCTTGGTATGGGATGCGCGCAATGCAATGTGCCAGTGATGAGCTCCAAGGTGGTATCTCTTCATGCCTTCGTTCCGTCCCGTGCCATCCCGTTCCCTCCTCCCATCATGAAACTCGTGGAAATATGCCTCCCATGATCCGACCAGAAAACTCGCCAAGAGAAAGAAAACGACCACCCCTGGAATGGGTTCTCTAGACATTCAGGAAGCTGTCAGCCCGAGAGAGCGTCGCATCCGCAACGACGACTCTGTGGATGACGACTCTCTCGTGGTGGCGGCTGACGACGCCCTGGACCGTGACCCGGTGGTGGATGAACCCCTGGACAGCGCCTAGCTAATCCGCCTCTCCAGCTCCGGACTCAGCCCCTCCTTCTCCAGCTTTGTGCGCATGTCGGCGTCCGTCTCGCGACGGATGCGCATGTACGCCAGCTTCTCGAACCTGCTGAGGCCCTTCCACCAGTGCTGCCCGGCCTCATGTTCGCCAATGCGCTCCAACAGGTCCGCCGTCCGTGTGCGCACTTCGCGGTCCTTGTGGAAGAGGCCCAATGCGAGGTAGAACAAGCCAGCGTGTGACTCGGGTGCCACACTGAGGAAGAGGCAGATCTCGTCGTAAGAGAAAATGTACTTGGAAAAGGCAATGTAGATTTCTCTGCTCTGCGCCGGGTTGAGGCGCTGCGTTCGTAGACGATCGTGCATGTGATGCAGGTCCAGACCCTTGAGCGGGCGGATTGTGTATATTTGTGCGAGGTCCTGCGTTTCTGTGTCAGTCAAATCCAGCAGCATGGTGTTCAGTGACCTTACCTGGATGAAGCTGTAGTAGCTCCGTGTGTTCCGCCATCCCTCGATCCTCGTCACGTTGCCTGCGAGCTCCTTCTGTCTCGACGGCTCGTCTACCCACACGTAGCCGTGTCCATTAACCCCCGTGGAGCCCATGTCTAAGTCATCGCCACCGATATATAGGGCACTAGCACCATATACGCCCTCCTCAAAGGCGGCTGCGATTCGTGTGAACTTGATTACCCAATCGCGCCATTTGGCGCGGATGACCCGTTCACCACGCCGCGCGGCAATGCTCTTTAAAATGTCCTGCATAAACGCCTGATCACCTGTTAAATCTGTCTCGGCAGAGATTCTCGATGTGCCGCCAACAAGCCCGGCGAAGGATGGATTCTGCTGTTGGAAGTATACCATGCCCTCTGTCACCGTCGCGGGCTCAATTTTGCTGCTAATCTTGACCTTACCCGTCGGCAAGTCGCACAGAACATCCCACCACTCGGGGTGCAGCTCGAATGTCGGATTTGTCACGCCGGCGATGAAGCCAGGGACGTTCAACAGATCGTCAATCTTGGTCAAGTCCGTATAAGGGAAAGCGTGTCGGGTGAAGCCCCGTAACGTGCCGCCAGAAGCCAAGGCGCACGCTGCAAGTACAGCTTCGGCCACCTCTCCGGATGGCAAGTTGTGGCCGAGAAAGATGACTCGCTTCTGCGTCAACAAGGCGTTGGCGAGGACGATGATGGGGTGCGTGTTCGGACCATTGGTCGTCAAGTGTGCGTGCAGTGGGAATGGCTGCACTGCTTTGCCATGTGATTCAGAAAACTTTTGGATGAGTTTGATCAAGGAGAAGTCGCCGACGGTCTCTGGCATGACCGCGACTGGGATCTTGATCGGAATCGGGATTCCCTTATACATAACCTTGCTTTCAAATTCGTGTGTGTCTCTTGGTACCGAGTACTTGGCCTGCATCTGGCCCTGGCCCTCAATGTACGCTTTGGTGCCAGCTCTTGAGATGCCCTGCTGTTTTGAGAGACTGCGATTCACGTCGAACGGCTGGTCGTCGAGCTCTTCGCCCCTGTCCTCAGCGAGGCGCATCTGGATCATCTGCTCAAACTTTTCCACAAACAGATCTTTGTTATCGCTGGCCAGCAGAAGATGTCTTTCCAACAAGCTGAGCTTGGGCATGAGAGACAGGTCCATCGCATTGACCGCGTCATACAGCATGGACAGTGTCTCTGGGACAGGCGATTTGAAGTATTCTTCCAGAGCCAACAGTAATAAAGGCTGAGAAGTTGGTTAGTAAAGCGGACTCGGTCTGGCCTGAGAAGACATGTCCAACCTTGTATATGTGTAGAAATGGGTGTCGTGTGCAAATCGCCATGGCCTTGACAACAGCGCCTCGCTTGACAGTCTTGTCCTGTTTCGTGTTGACCAGGTTGAGCACGTGGATGAGTGGCGGACCCTCACCACCTTCTGGCTCGCTGTCGGTGGACTCGTCGTCGTCAAAATCGTCTAGGTCATCGTCCTCCTCTTCTTCGTCTTCTTCGTCCTCTTCTCCGTCCTCGTCTTCTTCGTCAAGGATTCCCGCAGCCTCGTTTTGTCTTCTCCTCCTCCTCTTACGCCTCCTTTCTTTCCTCTTGCGCTCCTCGTCTTCCTCCTCTTGGCTCGTATCCTTGTGCAGGAAGAATATGGTCCAGTCCTGGTTGCGCACATGGGCCTGGTCGGGTAGCATGAGCTCGGCAAGCATGTGTTCGTCGCCTGTGATCGCCACAGGATATTGATGCTCCATCACTGGGCCCCGGTCAATGTCGAATGATGCCACAAGAATGTACTCGACGTGGTTCTCAGTCGACCCTCTTGGGTACTGCGAGCGCAACTTGCGCGGCGGGTGCGCATCGGGGTTGTAGCGGCGCGGCGCCGAAAGGGATGAGTGCTGGGAAGACAGGCCAGTCGATGGAGTCTTGGACTTGGAGCTGGGGTCCGAAGAACGGTCTGTCTCTGCGATGGGCGGTTGCGGCGACCGCGAAGGACGCGAGTGATTAGACATTTGCGAGGGAGAGCGCGAGGCGGGAAAGCTGGAGAGAGAGGTTCGACGACTGGGCCAGGGGCCATTGGGTCCATGGGGACCAGGAAATTGTGTATTACTGGGTGCGCGGGTCAGGAAGGGGAGAGCCGCGCTTGTTGAGGCCATCGTATATATCGCCGGCGGTTGTATAAGTGGCCGGACTAGGCTGAGGTCGTGGTGCGCGAGGCGGCAGCGACAGCCATTCGGTT